CTCCCCCATGCCTCTCTTTCGTCCTCTCCCTCTTTCCTTCCTCCCCGAACCTCCATCCCCCCATCGACCCGTCCCTCATCCTTCCCTGATGCCCCGCCCCCCTCCTTCCCCGATCTCCCCTCCCTCTGTGTCTCCCCTCCCCATTCTCCCTCTTCTTCCCCCCCTCCCTCCTCGGCCTCTCTCCCCCCTCCCCCTCCCCCCCCTCCCTCCCCCATCTCTCTCTCCCTCCTCTCGTCTTCCTCCCCTCAGCCCTCTCTCTGTCTCCCCCTTCCCCTCCCTCGTCCTCCTCCGCCCTGGTGCCGTGCCAGGTCAGCCGATGCAGCCGATGCACCAGGCCGAGATGGACGCGGCCTTCAGGGAGGCGCAGGGGGGCGCCCCGCCTTTGCTGCTCCCCCCCCCCTCCTCAAAGCAGTGGTCGACGTCCAGACGCGCCTCCGTCTTGCGCCTCCGTCTTGCGCACCTGTCTCCTCGGCATGGCAGGCGCGCATGGGCACCATTATCCGGAGGATGGGCACATCTATACATCCACACACACATATCTATATATATATATATATATATAACTGTATGTATGTAGATCTGTATATTATGTGTATATATATATATATAGCAATCATATTTGTGTGTGCGTGTGTGGATTTTCTGACCGTCGCCGCACCTGTGTAGGGTCCCGAGTGGATTCAGTTCGGGTTCTCTAAAGTCCGTTTTCAGGCCGTTTGGGGGGCCTCCTGGGCCGTAGTGGGACGTCTTGGTCCTTCCGGACAATCTTGGGGGCCTCTTGGGGGTGTTCTGGGGCGGTTTGGGGGGCCAGTTGGGCTGTCTTGGGGCCCTCTAGGGCCGTCGTCTTGGTGCCGTCTTGGGGTTCTCTTGGGCCGTTTGGGGCTCGTCTGGGGGCCCACTTGGGCGCCTTGGAGCGATCTCGGGGGCCTCTTCGGCCGTCTCGGGCGCTCTGGAGACTGAGAAGCCGAGTACGCATGCGAAAGTTGCACCAAGACCTAAGGGACACTAGTAATGTTTGTCTCTCGGGGGTCGTTTTCGGGCTCCCTTGGGCCATCTGGGGAGCCCGTTGGGGCGTGGAGTGGCAATCCTGGGCCATCTTGGGGCCCATCGTCATCGTCTGGGGGCGCTCGTCGGGCCCTCCTGGGGCCTCCTGGCGCCTCGGGGGCCATTTTGGGGCCTTCTCGGGCCATCTTGGGCCCTTTTAGGGGCGCCCTAGACTCAGGCTCCCCCGAGATACCCGGAGTTGTTTCAGTCTTCTATGCTTATCAGAGTGAGGGGGGCCGAACGGTCATTCATTGTCCCTGGGTGCGTGGTTGAATGGGGAATTCGTGGTGAGAATTTTGCTTGTTGCGTGGTTGTTGTTGTTGTTGCTGCTGCTGCTGTTGTAGCTGTTTTTGTTGTTGTTGTTGTTGTTGTTGTTGTTGTTGTTGTTGTTGTTGTTGTTGTTGTTGTTGTTGTTGTCGTCGTCGTCGTCGTCGTCGTCGTCGTTGTTGTTGTTGTTGTTGTTGTTGTTGTTGTTGTTGTTGTTGTTGTTGTTGTTGTTGTTGTTGTTGTTGTTGTTGTTGTTGCTGCTGCTGCTGTTGTTGTTGTTGTTGTTGTGGTTGTTGTTGTTGTTGTGTTGGTTGTGGTTGCTGTGGTTGTTGTTGTTGTTGTTATTCTTGGTGTTATGGTTGTTGTGCTTGTTGTGCTTGTTGTTGCTCGTGGTAATAATGATGATGACGATGCTGATGCTGCTGATGATGATGATGATGATGGTGATGGTGATGAAGATGATGATGATGATGATGCTGATGATGATGATGATGATGATGATGATGCTGTTGATGTTGTTGTTGTTGTTGTTGCTGTTGTTGAGCACTCATTTCTAAAGAATAATTGCTGTTGCTCTCCAGAGACGGTTCCGAGCGCTCTCGCCTCGACGCCGGCTACATTTTTGAGAAAAAGAGGCTCCCGCTCGAGTGTTGGTTTGACACTGAATGTGGGCCCTTGGAGGCCCAGCTACGACAACAACGGCTCCCGCCCGATACTCCCTCACAATTTACCCCGAGACACCCTGGCCAGAGAGGCCCCCCAACTTAGGACCGGCGCTCTCGCTCGAGACTTTCTCGCAATTCAATTAAGTTGGCGGAGGCCCGGCCACGCCGACAAGGGCTCATGCTCGATACTTCCTTACGATTTTCTCCGAGAGCCCCTGGCCAAGAAGGCCCTCGAACTCATGAACTGCGCTTTCGCTCGAGACTTTCCAGTAATTCAGGCAAGTTGGTGGAGGCCCGGACACGGCGACAAGGGCTCCCGTTCGATATTTCTCCATAAGTATTCCGAGAGCCTTTGGCCAGACAGGCCCCCGAATTGAGGAACGGCGTTCTCGCTCGAGACTTCTTCGCACTTCAGTCAGTGGCCGACAAGGGTACAATCCAAGACGAAGTCGGTAGCTATCGACAGGGTTGGGGTATACGGAATGCAGGGCACGCGTGCCCATAAGAGCGAACCGTCTGAACATGATTGTTGTTGTTGTCGTCCCACCCCGCGACCCACCCCGCGACCCACCCAACGACCCACCCCGCGACCCACCCGCGATCCAACCCGCGACCCACCTGCGACCCACCCCGCGACCCACCCGCGACCCACCCGCGACCCACCTGCGACCCACCCCGCGACCCACCCGAGACCCACCCCGCGACCCATCTTCGACCCACCCGCGACCCACCCGCGACCCACCCCGCGACCCACCCGCGACCCACCCGCGACCCACCTTCAGGGGATGAGAAAACACCCGGACCCGACAATTGACGTTTACTAAACGGCCCTGGGCGCCTTAAACCGCCCTGCCTTGTTCGATTCATTCCTTGTGTGCGTTTACTAAACGGCTTCGCTTGTCGGGCTGATTATTATGGAGTGGATTTTCTGCCCACACCCGCGACCCAACAGCGACCCACCCGCGACCCATTTGCGACCCACCCGCGACCCATTTGCGACCCACCCTAGACCCACCCGTGACCTACCCACATTGGTTTAACGGAAACGGAAAGAATCGGCCTTTGCGGCGGGCTCGTTGTATAATTTGTGAAATTTTGGCGTCTGCGGCGGGCTTGGGCTTCTCCAGAGTCTCGCAAACTGCCGACGTCCCCGCCGCCCCCTCACTCTTATCCGCATCTGCGGGGTGCTACGGTAGGGACTCGTTGTATTAGTACAGCTGCATCAGGCCACCGGGTCGGGGGGCTCCCTGGGGATCCTCCCCAACGGCCCGAGAGCTGCCCAGACGGCATCCAGTGGCGTCAAGAAGACACCAGACTTCGGGATGTTCCGCGTGGCTTCCGGACAGCCCCAGATAGCTTCAAGACGGTCCAAGAGGACTCGACGAGCGCTCTCCAGAGAGGTTCAATAGGCGAACGCAGCATTTTACCTTAGGTGTTTCGATGTCTGGTGGGTTCTTGCCTTTTTCAACGTCCGACGCCCGCTACGTTCCAAGAGGCTTCCAAGACCGCCCAAAGACGTTCAAAGAGGCCCCCAAGAGGGCCCCAAGACGGCCCAAGCGTGTCCCAAGAGGGCCCCCCTCCCCCTCCCCCCTCCCCCTTCCCCTCCCTCCTCCTCCTCCCTCCTGCCTCCTCCCCCCCCTCCCTCCTCCCCCTTCCCTCCTTCACAATTACTCAATATGGATACTACTCTCCCTCTTCCCCTGATAACGGTTTGAAAGTATTAGCTCCTCCCCCCCGCATATTTTTTTCACACAGGATCCCCCGGAGTTGGGATTTCGCCTGCATTTTTTTCCAAAATGCTGCTCTCGCTGAGGCGCCGGCCTCATTTTCGGGCACCGCTCGTTCCGAATCGTGCTCCCGCTGCAGCGCTGGCCTCATTTCCGTGCTTCCGCTCGTTCCGAATCGTGCTCCCGCTGCAGCGCTGGCCTCATTTCCGCGCTTCCGCTCGTTCCGACTCGTGCTCTCGCTGCAGCGTTGGCGTCATTTCCCGTGCCATGCCACGGCATGCAATGCAATGCTAGGTTGATGCTACGCTTTGCGGTGCTCTTCTACGCCATGCCATGCAGTGCTCTACAATGCATCGCGTACCCTTTCGGGATCATTGCCCTGCTCGACATCCGACTGATGGCGTCCCGAAGATATCCGACACCCCCCCGCGTATTGTTTTTTTACACACAGGATTTCCGGGAAACGGGTTTTCGCTTAAAAAAAAATGCTGCTCTCGCTGAGGCGCCGGCCTCATTTTCGGGCCCCGCTCGTTCCGAATCGTGCTCCCGCTGCAGCGCTGGCCTCATTTCCGTGCTTCCGCTCGTTCCGAATCGTGCTCCCGCTGCAGCGTTGGCCTCATTTCCGCGCTTCCGCCCGTTTCGACTCGTGCTCCCGCTGCAGCGTTGGCGCCATTTCCCGTGCCATGCCACAGCACACGCGTACACACGCACACACACACACCACCACCACCACCACCACCACCACCACCACCACCACCACCACCACCACCACCACCAGCACAAGCACCAGCACCAGCACCAGCACCAGCACCAGCACCAGCAGCACCAGCACCAGCAGCAGCAGCACCACCACCACCACCACCACAACCACGCACACACGCACGCACGCACGCACGCGCACCACCACCCACTACGCACGCGCGCGCGGAGCCACAGGTTCGCTACGACACGCGTCCGCGGATAGAGAAAATCAGCGCCATGGTAAGGGATGGGAGGGAGGGGTAGGACGTCAGATATGACGCGAGCGCACCTAGCTTGCCCCCCCCCCTCCCCCCTCCCCCCCCGTCCCCCTTCCCCTCTTTCCCCCTCCTCCCCCTCCTCCCTCCTCTCCTCCCTCCTCCCTCCCCCCTCCCCCCTCCCCCCCCCTCCCCCCCCCCTTCCCCTCCCCCCCCCTCCCCCCCCCCCTGCCCCCTCTCTCCGGCCTCTCCCCCCGGCTCAGCAGCCGCACCCTCGGCCGACAGACGCCCCGCGAGAGCGGGAGACCCCGCCCGGCAGCCCACGCGATCCGCATATGGCCATGGCCAGCCTCGGCGCCGGGGCGGCCTGGCACGCCCTGTGCAGCCCGTCCCTGTGGCTGGACGTGGCCGCGGTGCTGCTGCCGTCGCTCGGGGTCCGAGAGGGGGAGAACGAGAGAGACCCTGACCTTCCAGAGAGCTATTGTTTAGCACTGGAGGCCTAAAAACCTCAAATACTGAGCGAAACAGCCTAAAACCAAGACGTAGAATAGCTTTGGGATAGGTTTGTAAGTCGCGTGCTATTTTTAGCCCTCTTGGAAGGTCAGGAGAGAGAGCGGGGGCGGAAGAGAGAGGGGTGATGGCTAGGGGGGGGGGTGGATCTCATGGCGGGGGTTGTGATAGTTTCCCAGATTTCATGGCGCCGCTTCTTATCTCATGACGTCCCTGGCCCCCCCGCTGGGCCGCGCACGTGCCGCCGGTCATGATTTGCACCCCCCCTCTTGGACACCCCCCTCTTGGCCGCTCCCGAAGAGAGAGAGAGAGAGAGAGAGAGAGAGAGAAGGACTGCAGGACACAGCCCAGTCGCCGGGCGGTTCCTGGCCGGTACCTTCACCCCCACCCACGCAGTGGCAGAGCGCCTCAGCTCGCCTATACAGGCCTGCCAAAGAGTGTTCTAAGAGCCTTTTTGTGGTCTGCACGAAAGGTTATTGGAGCACGTCTGGCTGGGACTGTCTTGTTTTCACACGTCGGGGCTATGTTCTGAGAACGTTGCTCTTGCTCTCAAAGCTTTGTCGGGTCCTCAGACCATGTCATGGCAGGCCCATAGAAGTGCCGGGGCGGTCTGTCCCTGCGGAGCCCCCGGCTTCTTGCTCGGCGGAGGCCCAGGGCGTCGGGGGCAGAGGTGCCCTGCCGCCGGCAGCTGCAACGGGGGCAGGGCGCAGCGGGATCTGAGATCCGCAGGGCCGGGCCCGAGCGCTGCCACCGTGCGTGCCCGCATACCGAAGGGCACTCGAGGTCGGGTGTCGCGTCGTACGCGTAAGACTCGCATGTCCTCGGGCGCGTTGCCCCTCGGAGGGGCTCCTGCTCTTCGCGGGTGCTCTGATGTCCCCGCTCGGGTGCCCTAGCAAGGTCGAGGGGGGGGGCGGACAGGGCGACAGGGAAAGGCGGGAGTCGCCAGTAAGGCAGCAGCCCAGCAAGAGCGTTCACAGCGGGGCGCCCCCACGAGAGTTGCCCGGGGACAGTTGCTGCAATGGTGCAGGGGCGCCAGGGCGGTCCTTGCTCCGACGCTGGGCAGCCGCCCGTCTAAGTGGCGGCGCCAGGGGGCGGTCGTCGTTCAAGGGGCCGCTCCCCGCAAGAAGGCCGTCACCGAGGGTGTCATTGAGAGCTTCTGACGAGGCTCGTAGAAGAAGATCAAGATGAAGAAAAAGAAGACGAATGATGATAACAAGATAAGAAGAAGGATACAAAATACCACTAATAACCATAACACACATACTATTAGTAATAACAGTAATCATAAGAAAAGCGGTAAGTAGCAGCATAAGCGCAAGCTCTTGTCGGTCCGCGCGGATTTCTTGGATCTGCGATGGATCCCCCTCCCTGGAGCGCGGAGCGCGCCGGGGTCGGCACCGGAGGCGCCGCCAGGGGTGCCCAGCGTAAGCCCCCCAACATCCGCGCGGACCTGCAACATATCATATCTATACCGTTCTCATTCTCCACAGGAGGTGCAGCAATGTGCGAAGGCGCGCGGATCAGCGACTGGTCCCGTGTCCATGCTGCGTCGGCGCGCTCCGTCGACGAAACGGGCCGCACTGGAGTGTACATTGTTTCTCGGCGAGGATAGTCGAGGAGCCTATGGGGTCGCCTTGCGACACAAAAAAAAACATGCACGAAGCCGAAGGACGCACGAGGAGTGGACGTCCGAGCGATGTTAAGGTGGGAAGGGGGGGCGCGGAAGGACGAAAAGCCAGCCGAGGTTTATTACGTCGTGTACGCCGAGTCGAAGACGGTCGCGTCCTTGGCGCAGCTTTCTGACATGCAGGAGCGGAACGAGAAGCAGCAGCTGTTGGCCTCGAAGGCAGTTGATATTGATAATCGCTGGCGTTCGGGGAGGTGGGGGCTTGAAGGGAGGAGGAGGAGGAGGAGGAGGAGGAGGAGGAGGAGGAGGAGGAACTGATGAGGACGGGGAGCACGAGGTGGACGGGGAAGATGATGAGGACGCAGATCCATAGACTCAAAGATGTACCCCCGAGCGGGCAGGGACGGGGGGGAGGCATCCACATCCAACGCTCTGCGGTCCTCGGGCGCACGTCTCCCGATCTGTGGATGCGGATCGCGTCCCAGCGCGGACTGTTCGCCGTCCCCTCGGGCGTCCAAGAGGGGGGTCAGCACCAGTGTGTTCGTGTGTCTGGATGTTACGCACACCACTCACCGCGTGTGCGACGTCTCGTGCACGGTGCCTTCGACAATGCTCGATCGCAATTAGCACTCCAATTTGCTGCCAGCGCTTGAGAATATATTGCGCAGCCGACTTAGAAGAGTGTTTGTTGATGTCATGACCAGGGACGTGAGATCTTCAACATCTTCATACCCACCCGTTTCTCCTTTCGGTACGTCCCTGCCCGCCCCCACGCCCGGGCCGTGGATGCGTGAACCCCTTTCATCCCAGCCCCTCTTCTCTGCGCGCCTGATCTTCGCGTGGCGCAGGGAGTCAGCCCCAATTTGGGTCAGCCGATCCTGATTGCTCGCCTCCGACTAACCCAGGCGAAGGAGTGATTGGGAGCCTTCCACCGTTCCGCCATTGTCTCCCTTGACCCGTGTTTGCCAATTTTTAGTTTGGGAGCTTTTCTGGAGGTCTCCTCAGGGATCAATTCGACTCAGACTCTATTTCGACGCAAGCCGATTGGCGTTTGGCGCAGCTTCGGCGGTCATCGGCGCATTAATGGACCGAGTGGCCCCAGAACAGTCACCAGAGCGATCATCGACAGTCTGGGATTTCATATGTGGACGGTCTGGCTGCACCATACGGCTCGCGATGACAAGGATCACCGCTGAGCCGAGTCAGCCTCAGCTACGCGGTGGATAGTCCCCCCCCTCACCTCTTCGTGGGACCCTTCGGGTCAGCATTTCGGCGGGAATCCGGCCGTGCAAACCCGAACACTTTTTTTTTTTGAAATAAAAAGGCTCGAGCCTCGTTCTTTGATCCTGGGCGCGTCTCCCGAGCCTCTTCTCGTAGGCAATCAAAGCCGACAAGCAGTGGTTCTGCCTCGGCGTCTCCAACCTGGCCATAACGGCCTACCTGCTTGGTGCCTTCCCGGCCGCCTATCCCGTGGCGCCAGTGCCCATCGCCGCCCGCCCCCATCCAGCTCTTGTCGGCGATTCACGTTCGATCGCACTCGGGGGGCCAGGGGGAGCAGGGCATGGATACATTTTGGCTTCCAGAGGTCCAACTGTGGCCCCTTGTGGGGTTTGGCCCGAGCAGGCGTATTGCGCCTATCTCGCGGAAGCGGCCACAGGGACAAGAAGGAGGGGGTCCGATAAGTTGTGTGTTCCAATGCTGGGCCCCTGGAGCCTCGTTCCTGGCCCCAGAGCCCTTCATCATCGATCTGGTGTGACAGACATGGATGGGTCAATGGGGTCCTAGGACTCGTTTGGGGTAGATTTGGGACGTCGGGTCGGATCGAGGTCTGAGAGTCGAGGTCCGGGGATCTGTCTTGGGAGTTCTCGTTGGTCCTGTGCAGTGGCCTCCGGTAGAATGCGGAGGATGCGCAATGCTTACGGAGCGAGGAGGAGGAGTCGTGGAGGAGGAACGAAGAGCGGGTGGGGGATCGGGTCGGGGATGGATGGGAGAGGAGGGTTCAGAGGTGAGGAGGAGGGGGGATCATGGGCAGGATGAGGAAGAGTCGGACGACTTGTTGCTTGTCTCCCATGTCCTTCTACGCTGGCCTCGCCTAAATTTGTTGGCGCTTCGCCCAAACCAGCTTCACGCATTCACTGTCTTCGGCCCGTAGAACGCTCTGGCTCCGTGCTAGAGTTTGCCCAGCGCAAGAAAGACGGGGAAAGGGAGGGTCGAGGAGAGAACGAGGAGGGCGTGCGGAAGGGAACAGTAAGAGAGAGTATCGGACCGACTCGGCAGGAAGAGGCTTCGTCTGGACCCCCCTCCGCTTCTCGGGCAGGCCACACGATTCGAGCCTAAAGCTCGGAAGCAGTGGTGGCAGTAGTTGTGCCACACCCTGCCCTGCGGACAGGAGAGGGCGGAGGAGGGAGCTTGGGAGCAAGTGCCGGCGGGCTGCCAGAGGTTTTCTCGGGGCGCTCGAACTGGGTACGGAACGAAGTGGTACAGTGCCGTTTTTTTATACTTGCTCCGCGTGCGGGTCGTGTATAAAAAATCCAGGGAGTCAGTATCACAAACAACGACGATTTCATGCCTAATTCTTTTCATAAATACATCATGTATTAAACATCCGATATTCCTAAACATCCCATGTATTAGACACTGCCCTGTACGATGCCGGACAGCAGTTCCGGTTCATGTTGAATCCGACTCGCGGCACGCGCCGCCGAGGAGGTTGTTCACTGTCACGGGGGGCATAAAAAGCCGCCTGCCAAGCAGCGGCCGCTGTCGGTTTTGCTGCGGGGCATTGTGCCCATCTTATCCGTACCCATTTCGGGAGTCCAGGGTTCAGGAGGGAAAGAAACACACAGACACAATTAATCGTCGATTCCCCAGAAAATATGAGGAAATATGGGAAGTGGTGGGGAAGACAGAATCCGAGAAACTATGGGAAAATATGGGGGATCTTTTTGTTTGTGTGTATTTATTTGTGTGTCCTGGGGCCCCTTCAAAGGTGTCCGGGAGGACGAGCTGGGGGACGAAGAGGGGGGGAGAGGGGCGGCGGGGAGGAGAAGCCGCTGACGCGCGAGGGCGAACGTCGGCGAAGGGGGAGGCGGGGGGGGGGAGTGGTTGGTGATGGAGGAGGGTTGGACGGAGCAGAGGGGGGGGGGGAGGAGGAGGAGGAGGAGAAGGAGGAGGAGGAGGAGGAGGGAGGGAGGAGGAGGAGGAGGAGGAGGAGGAGGAGGAGGAGGGGGAGGAGGGGAGGGGGAGGGGGGAGGAGGAGGAGGAGGAGGAGGGGAGGAGGAGGAGGAGGAGGAGGAGGAGGAGGAGGGGAGGGGGTGGGGGAGGCGGAGGGGGAGGAGGAGGAGGAGGAGGCAGCCGCGCGCCCTCCTTGGAAGAAGGAGCCGCACCAGGAGCATCATCCGATGCTCCGCGCGGACTGCCTGGATCGGCGTGGGAACTCCTGGGTGGCGCCGCCGCGCCGATCCCAGAAATCTGCGCGGAGCTCCGAGCGTAGATGTTTATGCAAGGTTGCCCTCTCCTACCCCGTCCTCCCCTGCCTCGCAGCCCTGCACGGTCGTTGTGATTGAGTTGGGCAGGGGCAGGGGCTCCGTCCCACGCTTCTCGCCTTCAGCTACAGTGTAAAGGAGGGCCTGTGCCGTTAGACAGCAAGCGAGCGAGGGAGGAGGAGGCGGCGGATTGGGGAGAGAGAGAGAGAGAGAGGTAGAGAGAGAGAGAGAGAGAGAAACGGAGAGAGAGAAACAGAGAGAGAGAGAGAGAGAAAGAGAGAGGGCGGGGGAAGTACCAGTAGAGGGCGAGGGCAGGGCCAGCACCAACCTGGAGCTCGTTTAAAGCGCCCCAGACGGACGTCGCGGTCCCAGAGGGCCCCAGCTGCAAGAGGGGAAAGAGGGCGGAGGAGGAGGGGTGGGTGGGGAGAAAGTAAGCGATTAATTTTCAGATGTGTGTTGCGCTCGTCTAGCGTTTTCTGGCGACCTGCAAGCGTGCTTCTGTCGCTACGTCAAAAGCTGGAGAAAGCGGAGAGAAGGGGTCGCTTCGCGGTCACCGCTCGCCATGTTCACATCTGACTGGAGCTTAAGCAAATGCACTGCCAGGCTGACAGCGTCCTCGGATGCAAAGGCGAAACATAATATGAGCAGTAATCGATACGATGCGCAGCACTCCACCTACGCTAGCCCAACAATCGTCAGAGGAGGTCCCCCAGTCAGGCCCACGACGACCATGAGATATGCAACGCACCACTCCATACCACTCCATACTCCCCGACGCAGCTGCGGAGCACAAGTCCCAATACGGCCACGCGAGAACCCGAACACTGCCCCAATACAGTCCCGCACGGTTCCAGTATGACCTCTCAAACGGTACACGTCTGAAACGTGGCGGCGCGAGTGTGGTCAAGATAGGGAGAAGTTGGGAGTTCGGCAAGGCTTCCCGGATCGGCAGAGAGGTTGCGACGACTTTCGCTCTGCTGCGTTCGCAGGCCTTGAAGTGTTCAGAGCCCGGGTCCAACGCGCCGTTGGCCGTCGGCAAGGGCCGGCGAATTTTTTGTTCTACGTGCCGAAAGTTATTTTCCTCATTTTGTTGCGCCTGTATAAGTTCTACCAGAAGAAGCAGCATTTTCTTCTCTGGGACTTCTGTTACTGGGCGAACTTCCTATGCATATTCTACTGCGTGGTCATGCCGTCCTCGCCGACGGTCTTCCGGATCGTCTTCATGTGTGCGAACGGCCCGCTAGCGTGGAGTGTCCTCGCTTTCAACCACGCTCTCATCTATTTGGTTTTGCCTTTGCCACTGGCCCCCCCTCTGCTAACTTCGTGATGTGCGGGCGCATGGGCAAAGTTGGTAGATGTTGTTTGCAACCTTCCTGGGGCCATCTCCTTGCTTATGGGCCAAGATTGGGTGGTCTTTAGGCTCTCTGGGGCCAGCGGATTTTCCATTCCTACGCCCACGTCACGTCCGTTGCGGTGCACATGTCCCCGCTGGTGTTGACCTACGGTTTGCGCTGGTATGCAGGAGAAGGACGAGAAGGTTTCATGGCCGACCGTTTCTCTGTCTGCGACGCAGGTCCCGAAAGCTGTAGTAGCGTTTCAGTCTTGTCTGACCTTGTCGGGAACGCTTTGGTTCGCTTCTATCTGTGGTGGATGTGCATCTATTACCTCTGGATATTTGTGGCGCTGGGAAGCTACATTGAAAAACGAAATTACCAGACGCTTTGGGACCGCATCTTGGTCATGAAGCCAGTGGGCCCTTGGTTGAAAGGCTTGTTGAAGAAGCTGCCCAAGCTGGTGGTACAGCTTGTGTAGTGAAGAGGCTTACGTCATTCCGCCGACCCACTTGAGAGGAGATGAGGGGCAGACGATTTGTGTGTGTGTGTGTGTTGTGTCACCTTCCAGTCGTGCTGTATGCGTGTAGTTTCTGTTGGTTCTTCCGCTTCTTCCTGAGCGGTCGCTGCGAGGCTTCGTGGGAGCCTCTTGGAGGCCCAAAGGTCTGTCTCTTTTTGCTGAGTCACCGCTCCCAGGGGGTCTTGGGGGTCATGTCGTGTGGGGTGGGGGGCTGGGGGCTCCCGCGGGCCCTGCCGTGTCCTCTTCAGGGCTTCTACGGGGCTTCTTGGGCAGTGGCAGGCCAGTCTGGGGGTCTCTCGCGAACCGTCTTGGGTTTCCCGACGCCAGCAGATGCGACGACGCGACCATAATTCACACACTTCCTGAACAGCAGTGACGTTTGTTTCTTGAGGCCATGTTGGGGATCTTCCTGGGGCTCTCTTTCGGCGTCTTGGGCCGTCCTGAGGCTATCTTGGATGTTCCTGGGGCCTCTCCAGCGAGCGGGAGCTCGTGTGGGGCCATCTTGGAACGCATCCCTGGCATATCGGCGGCCGCGGAGGGATGATTTTGAGACTCTGGGAGCCCCTGGAGGTGCGCTGACAAGCAAATGCCCCCGCAACCGGCCTTCCCCTGCCCGGGTGTCGGACCCCAGGGGAGGGGGAGCGGGGGAGGGTTGGCAGCCGATCGTCTCGCACGCCCTTCCACCCCTGGCAAGCGGAGGTCGGCAGATCTGCTCATACACTTGGTCTTCTCGACCGTGACCATGTGTGTGGCCGCAGTCCTGTGGTACAGCCAGGTCGCGCACGCGCTGTTCCTGTTTACCATCTTCTTCTGCACGGTGAAGAACGCCTCCAGCTTCTATTTCGAAGCCTTCGAGAGCCAGTACGCGAAGGCCGCGACGGACCACGGCGAGAGCCCCGCGACCAAGGCCGTCAGCAAGAAGCTCGCATCGGCTTCGGCGGCGCTGGGAGGGCTCAGGGAGTCCGCTGCAGCTCAGGGGCTCCTGCAGCAGTAGGCACAGCCTCTTAGCCTGCTTCCGGCATCGTCTCACCGATCCCCGCCCCCATCTGACCATGGTTTTGGCAGCAAATCATTGGAGCCGTCTATACTCTAGTAATTTCGCTCTTCGAGTGCACGAGTACACTCACGTCAGCGCTTTTGTAGTTCATGAGATAGCGCCGATTTAGCATCGATAGGCGTCGATGAGCGTAGATGTAGCGTCGATCAGCGTCGATTGGCGTCGATTCACAAGATGGAACGAAAGGGTCCCTCGAGTTTCCACCGAACTCTTCTCCTGCCTTCAGCATCGTCTCACCGATCCACGCCTCAACGTGGCAATGGTATGTCAGCCCCAGCGACACGCCACCCCAGGTAGGGATAGGTCCGCCAGGGGTCGAGGAACCAACACTGGCATCACGGCTCTCCGAACATTTATGTTTATCGAATGGCCTTCGGCCCATCTCGCCATTGTGCCTGGGTTGTGGGTGTGGAACCTCTTGGATGTTCATTTGGGAACTCGTGGGAGGCCTTTTGGAGGCAGTTTTGAGGTCTGGCCTCTTGGGGGCCTCTTGAGACCTCTTGGGACCTCTTGGGGGCCTCTTGGGGGCTTCTTGGGGGCCTCTTGGGGCCTTCTGGGGTTCCCGCTAGGTTATCGACCGCGCCCGTTGCGTTCATTGGAGCGTTGGGCATGCGCACGTCCCGTGCCTCCGAGGTTGGCAATCTCAAAAGGTCTGGACCTCAAGCGTTTGGGCTCTGGAGCTGTGCGGTGGTTTGCTTGACCCACAGGCAGCTGCACATAATGAAAGTGGCCGGGCTGCTGTCCGACTCTTGTGCAGGGATAGGTCTGGGGTCCTCATGCCTGTTAGCTGCACATCCTACGAAGCTGGTGGCACGAGGGGCCCCATATGCTCTATCACAGCAGTGTTACTCTGCAGTGGTGTCGCTTGATATGGGATGGCCCTCGAGGGCTTGACGCCATGCAGCTTGACACAGAAAGGAGGCTCCTCTCCCTTCCGCCCCCCTCTCAGGGTTGTGGTCTTGACCAGTGGCCTCTGCAGGGCCTGGGCGCGTCCTGGCTCGCGAGACTGGGGGTGCGCGGGCACCCTCCCGCCCCCCCGCTGTCGCCTCTCCCTTTCCACCCCCTCTGTCCCTTCGACCCGCCCTCCGCTCCCCTCCCCGGGTCCCTCCTCCGACTCCTCCCCCCTCCTCTGCCCCCCGCCCCTTCCCTCCCGCCGCTCCCCCCCCAGTTGGGTCGGCTGCCCGTCCGCACCTGCGCCGCCGTCCTCCTCGTCCCCCATCCGACCTCGTCGGCACCACCGTCGGCGCCGTCGTCGACCCCGCCGTCGCCGTCCCCGCCGCCGTCGGCCGCGCCCCCGTCGTCCTCGGCCTCGCCGCCGTCGCCGGCCGCCTCCTCCCCGTCGTGCTCGCCCTTGGCCCCCCCGAAGCCGCGGCCTCGGTCGCCCTCCTCGCCCCCGGGGCCCGCGCCCTCCTCGCCCCCGCGGGCTCTCGCCGCGTGGCGCCGCCGTCGGCCTCGATCTTGCTGCTCCGCGTCTCGTCCCCCCGCGCGGCCGCTGGCCGGCGGCGGCCGCGCCAGGCGCAGATGGCGCACCGCAGTGCGAGCTCGTCTGCCGGCCCGCAGCAGGCGGCGGGCCGCCGGGCGTCACGTACTTCTGGGCTTTGGACTCAGGGGCAACGGTTGGGGGGGACAGGCACAGGGGGGGAGGCATCGACCCCCAATCGCCCATTGGTCGCCGATAGGGTCCCGATAGCCCCCACCCTTCAGGAAGGTGCGGATTCACTAGCGGAAGCCTATCGCCGATCTATCGGCGATGTATCGCCGATTCCAGGTCGATGCATCCCCCCTATGCCAGTCCCCCCCTATCGTTGCCCCCCATGGACGCCCGAAATGGGTACGGAACAGATGGGTACAATGCCCAACAACAAATGCTGTCCCAGACCAACAGCGACCGTTGTCGGGCAGGCGGCCTTCTGTCTCAAATAGGCACAGGCCGCGGCGGCGCGAGCAGCGAGTCCTGTTCAAAATGAACAGGAACTGCTGTTGGGCATTGTACCCATTCTTTCCGTACGTACCCATTTCGTTCGTGCCAATAGGCCTCCTAGATGGGGTCGGAGTAGATGGGATCGGAGGATCGTGCGGCATCGCCGATGCATCGGCGATGCGGCTCGATGCGAAAACCGAGTTTCTCTACGCCGACGGCGCCGATGCATCGCCGACGTCGCCAGTGCATCGCCGGTGCATCGGCGATGCATCGGTGATGCATTGGCGACGCGGCGCGATCCTTCGACCCCATCGAACCCCAGGAAGCACTTACGACCCCCCCTCATCTGGTGAAAGTGGAACGCATCCGACACCCTGGAAGCGTTACCTCGGCACCGGGGGGGCCCGCAGAGAGCACTCGGGGCCAAGCTAAGCCTTGCTGGGCCCTGCTAGCTCCCGCTAAGCCCTGCTTAGCAATGATAAGCCAGGGGAGGTGCTAAAGATACCGCTCTGCGAAAACGGCCCCCCCGGAAAGATTGAATCCTGGTGCGGTGCTAACGAGAACCCGGAGGGTTTCTTAAAGGCTTCCTCGGGTTACCCGGACCCCATCTAGGAGGATTCTAGTATTGTCAGGAGAGGAAAACACACAGACACAATGAATCCTCGATTCCAGAAAATATGGGAAAATATGGGAAGTGGGGGGGAAGACAGACACCCAGAATATATGGGAAAATGTGGGGAATCTGTTTATTTGTGTGTATTTATTTGTGTGTCCTGGGGCCCCTTCATCAATTGGTGGGGTGGGCACATGTGCACCTTTTGGGCCCCCAGTCGGCGGCGAGGGAGGGGGGGAAGCGAGAGGGGCCGGGCCTGTTCAGAAAGCTCGGGCGTCCCGGGGGCTTTCTGAGACGTCTTCGAAGCCTTCCGCACAGAAAGCCTCTCAGGAGGCGCCACGGCTTTGAAAAAGTCTCGCCGCCTTCTGAGAAGGCCTCCTCCTCACTCACCCGCTCGCCGCCGACTCGCGGGGCCCTGTGGAGGGGCCCCCGAGGCCCCAGTCCGGTCCGAAAGGTGCACGTTCCCCCCCCACATCCCTGACCTTCCAAGAGGGCTAACAAAATAGCACGCGATTTCAAAACCTATCCCAAAGCTATTCTACGTCTTGGTTTTAGGCCGTTTCGCTCACTTTCTTTAGGTTTTTAGGCCTCCGGTGCTAAAACATAGCTCTCTGGCAGGTCGGGGATATCGCCCCCCCTTGATCAACGCACGAGGCCATGTGCCCATGGTGCGGACAGCCATCTTCACGCAAGAGCGGCCCTTCGCCGGAGTGGCCTTTGTCGTTGGCTCCCTTGGGCTCCCCCGCTCACGAGATGCGCTGCGACTGCAGCGGTTTGGATCTGTCGGGGGTGGACAGACCTC